ATTAAGAAAAATCAAGTTTTTTTGAAAAAATTTTAATGGTCCCAACACGAATTGACAAAGAGGGAAAACCAAAAAATTCAAAAAAATACGGTTCTGAGCGTCATAGATTTACCTCCCGCTTGGGAACCAGCCTCTGAAGGCCCAATAAAGTGCAAACTGGTACCTACATACCAGAGTCTTCGCCGTACATCGTACGACGTACCTTTTCTGAATTTCTCTTAACATGTGAGAATCTCATCTTCTTTTCATTCTGAATAAAAACAACAAGAACAACAAACCAATAATTGAAAATGTTTTTATTAAAATTAGCTATTGAGAGAAGATGAATAAATTACTCTGAAAATACAAAACCAACAAAACCGGCGATGTGAAAAACGAATACACAGAAAACCATTTACGAGATCACCTCTTGGTTGTTTCGAAAAAAAAAAGAAAAAAAAAATAAAACTGCGTTAATAGAAATTATGACCGAAAGCAAGTGCAAGAACTAACCTAATTACCCGTGATAATCAAACAATGTACAATAACGGATAAGGAGTAAAGCACAATCAGATCTAAGGTTATGCTAGAGAGGTGTATGGAATTGCACTGACAAAGCTTATTAAATAATACAAGTTAGAATTTGAGCAGTTAAATATAACCTGAAAGAAAGCCAATATGAACGTAAGCTAATACCTAATAACTGTGTTATTGTCATGAATCTAGTTATGACCCCTCATCATCAAGCCTGGGGAATCATCTTCATCATCAGTCTCTGCTTCACGGCACTGCCGTTTACGTGGAAGAGGTGGAGGCAATGGTAGATAGTATTCTCTTCCAGGTGGTACATCGAGTGGTGTGATCTGAGATTTGAGATTGTTATAAGTTGACTCATCATATAATCAAACCTCTTGGGGAGGACCAGCAATGTATAATAACACTGGCAAAAGAATTAAGCCATTGATTATTCCAATGACGATTAATGCTGACATTACGACGAAGAAATACTTGACAACGAACTCGAACTCAGAAAATCCGAGCATAAGAATTCCGAGAAGAGTTGAGAAAGCACCATGAATTACAGGAACGAAAACTCGTTTGACAGCAGATGCAGTTCTTTCCGGGCGAGTTCCGAGTTGCGTTAAATAAGCCAAAACAACATGAGCCGTAAACTCAACTCCAATTCCGACTGCTGTTATTAAGGTGACAGCGGAGACGGGGTTCATTTTGATTCCGGCGAAGCCCAAAAATCCAGCGAGTTCGATGGTCATGGCTACAAACAGAGTTTAAGCAGGAAGAGTAAAATTAGAAACATACCAACAAGGATAACCAAAATGGTCAAAGCCGCCCAGGGATTGAAGAGAAGAAGAGAAATAACAATGAAGACGGCTAAAGCTATAGTGGCGATTGCTCGCAGTAGATTTCCATTAAGATGAAGATATTGTTCCCAGAAAGTGAAAGCTATTCCTTGAGGGAAATTGGGCAATCCGTTCACAGTATAATTATCACAAATTCCTCTGATTTCTTCAATCATCGTGACGATAACAGAAGTATCAGTCAGTCCAGTCAAATAGAAAGGAATTTGAGAATAAGCCAGCTTGTCGGCAGGAGGAACGAGAACAGGCTGTTTACGGTCCAAAACCCATTTAGGAGGAGTAGGATAGAATGATGCTTGACTAACGTAATACCTAAAAAGAAATAGAATGAAGTGGACGAACAAAAAGAGGATCTCACATCATGTTTTCTTGGTTAAACCAAGCAGTCAAGCAATTATAGAAACCGTCATTTATGATTGTTCCGGCATGATCCACAAGCTTCACTTTCTTCACACGGTTGTGGCAGTTATAGTTATGACCGAAACTACACACCAGCCGTAACCCAATGATAGCATCGTCAGATACATTACCGACAACATTTCCGTACAGATCAATCCTGCAAATTCCACATTAATCTCTCGAGAGCACATCAATGACTTACTTTCCGCTGTCTAAGGCAGTCTCATATTCGGATTGTATACTATTCAGCCATTCCCTCATCATTTCGAGCCAGTATTTTTCAGTAGGTTGATTATTCACTTTGATAACAAAACGCGAATGAGCTAAACAGATTGCAGTTTCACACTTTCAATGTGGAGAAATACCTATTGAGTTACGATAACTTTCAATTAAATGTTGTTGTCCAGCATAGTCTATATCGGGACCCTTCAACACAGCAAACATAGGGTAGAAACTAAACAAGTCGAAACCCATATAACAAAACGTGGAACTTGAACTAACCTGAAGTACTTGTCTCTGGCTTGAAGGAACTTAGCAGGCGCCGTATGCTCAGGGAGCACGTCAGAGAGCTCCAACCCGATATCGGCGTTGTAAATACCAGCAATAGAAACAGTCATGAGAGCACATGTTCCGAACAATACGAAGAACTATAAACAAATTGAATAGTGGGTAAGCTGAAGCGAATAACTCACTCTAAACCAGCTTTTATCTAGAAGTGGCACGTAGTAATTTTTAATGAATGTTTGAAGACTGAAAGAGCTCTCAGGTACTTCTTCTAACAGATCCTTGTACGTCATTGGGATATCACGACAGGAAGAAGGCTCGCCGATAGTTCTCTTCTGCTTCAAATTTTTACAGATTCATTATAATCCTATCTACACTCACCTGAATCTGAGGCTTCGAAATCATAGAATAGTTTTCTTCACGCGTATCGCCATATAGACAACATAGTATATCTCTACGTCCAGCTTTTCTACGGCGCAAGTCCATTGAGATTATTGCCTTGAATACGAGAGGGTAAAAAAAAAACTTTATAACGTGAACTCACGGGATAAACAGTTAGGATAGCAATGAAGTTGAATGTTAGAAGGATGGAACTTTGGGCGCAGAAAGACCGAAGAGCCGGAATTGGAAGCAGTGTTCCTAAAAATTAAAAAAATGTACCTGTGCTTGAATATTTAAAAAATTTACCCGCGAGGAAAGATAATATGTTATTGATAGAAGTGCAGAGCAAGCTCATACCAGTTTCTCGAAGAAGAATTCCCATCTCGTGACGACCCGTCATAAGAAGATCGTCATGATAGTTATGAAGCAACATGAACATATTGTCAACACCGATTCCCAGAGTGAGAAAAGGTACAATCTGGGTGGTGGCAGCATTGAACTCAATTCCAAACCATGTAGCTAATCCCAGTCCAGAGACAGAAGCGAAAGTAACTGTCAAAACTCCAGCAAGTGCTAAACCCATGCAAGACTGAGAAGCAGGTAGACAACCTTCTCTTTTGAACTGAGTCATCATGGCATAAACAAGCTGAAGAATATAGGACATAAGAGAAAACAGAAAGAGGAAAACACACCATTAAGCCATAGCCAACAAAGATGATGGTATAGTTGAACTGACAGAACTCTTCGAGCATGTCAGCTATAGATGTAGAAGCCAAAGGATGAATAGTTCTTCTCTCATTACCCTGAAAAGACACATTACGATGATTAATCAGAAATAAATCAAACCTCATTATCAAAGTTATCATGATGTTTATACATTCGAGAAGTGAAGTTTCTCTGCCAAGCTTGGATAACTTCTGCAGCAATTTCTTCATTCCAAACAGGAAGATCGCGAGCAGTTTTGAATGATTTCTTTTGTGCTTCAGTCATATTAATCTGGAGTATCAAATAAGAAACGTAAGAATCAGATTTCTAACTCTGTCTTTAAATCGGAGAAAAACGTCGTTAGGGCTGGCTACTAAGAAAACACTTTGCAAAGCATCGGCGAAGTTTAATTGATTGTCAACACTTGATCTTTTAGTTCCTCCAAGAATCATATCCTCTGGCCAGCGAAGAACAGCAGGAGCAAAACCTGGACAGCCTCCAGCCATTGATGCACCGTAATTGGGGAACTTTGGATATTCATCCTTGAACAAAAAGATCAGAATCGCTGAGAAAACTATCTCAAACCTCTTGAAGGAATTCATGCCATTTTTCTCTGTTCTTTTGCATCCATTCCATTGCACTAGCCCTCATTTGGGTACAAGCAGTTTCTAAAGAAGAAAAAAGGGATCAACTTAGTGATTGAAAACAAAAATACCTGGGTTTTTCAGGAGTTTTTTGGGATCTATTGTGGTAGTAGTTGTGGTAGTCGTGGTAGTTGTGATAGTTGAAAGAGTTGAGTTTGAAGAATCAGTTCCATTAGTTTCGCTATCCTCTTCGTCACCGCTCAAGAATGACAAGAAGCTATCAAAGAGGTCAGGAGCAGCACCACTTTCGTCCTCTGTTTCATATACAATATGGATCCCCTTCGATTGGGTGTAGTTGAAAAATCTCTCGATGTAGGGACAGATATCGTAATAATTAGGTGCGAGTTTAGGACATTCTGGATCTAGCGGATTCATGCAGGGCCGATCAAGGTAGCCATGGCCAAGTCCAGCCTATTACGTAGAATATGAAAACAAAGTTATCAATTGACTCACTCGTTCGAAGAAAGAGAAATGGGATCCAAGAGGAGCAACAGAATCGATTTCTGTTATGACAGCGAGAGGGTCAAAATTTGTCCATTTTATCTTGTTAGATGTTGGAAGAGATTGCATTAACCCACTGTACGTACCGATGTCACTGAAGAGAATAAACTGTCATAATCTTTCCATATCATTCAATACCTTTTGGTTACAGGAGGGAATGGTCCCAAGGCTTTTCCTCCTTCCCAAAAGCAATCGATAGGAGTTATCCAGATACAGGGAACAATCCTTTCGATTATAGATTCGAAACTCTTGGCCATAGGATCATCACCCAGAGGAGCTGCTGGTTTGAAGCAAATATCATGAAGAGTCCAATTGCTAAATAAAGACATCAACCAATTATATGATTAAAGCTCCTCACTTTCCATGAACTTCAACATTCATACTAGCAATTTCCTCCATGATTTTAACATGTTTAAGTAATCCTTCAAGTGACAAAGCGTTTTGACCCGGTCCCTCCGGCGTTTGGATGATAACCTAAAGGAAGAGTATATGCATAAACCAACCGAAGGAGGATATACCTGATAACCACCGCCTAAACCATTTTCTCGTACTATCTCAACCGTGTCCGTATCGTTAAACTTCAAACTCTCTTGCACTTTGTTAAGAAAATTGAGCTCTTCGTCTAACCGACCACCGTCTGCAAGAATAAATAGTAAAATAATGAACTGTATAAAACAAACTTACGGGCAACCCACAACTTCACTATATCTGTTTCTATCCGAACATACTGAAGTCCATAGCAACAAATAGAAAACAAAATTAATATGGTGCAGATAACTGTTGCTGCATTGGCTTGTACAAAATTTCCTAAAGAGAAAAGAAGCTTCTGGATGAAACTTCTGGAGTAAAGAGCCCATTGGTTTCCAGTTGCTTTTCCCTGAAAAGAAAATTATTTGAAAAATTTCGAGAAAGTCATAAATTGTATTGAAAATGTACATAAAATGATGGAGGTACATGAGACCTCAGCAACATGTACCCTTTCGGCCTTGAATTGAAACAATAAACTTCATGTAGAAACTTTTGTTTCGACTATTTCACGAACTTTCATCACATAACTAACTACACACAAACGCAGTTCGAATGCTAATAACTGAATTTCACCATTTACGTCTGAGAAATGAAAAATGATTCCAAACGGTCTTCAGAATGAAAAATGCAAATAAGGTCATTCATGCCACTCCAATGAAGACATTGCTCTCTTTCTCTCAAAGTAATTTTCAAAACGCCATATGGTGTCAGTCACTACAGAATGAGTATTCTACTGAGGAATCAAAAGATACGTGGAAACGATATAAAGTCAAGCACGAATATAAGAAAAGCTTACTCTTTTGATTTGCTGGAGACAAAGATCTGCATCACACCATGAGGGTCGCTGCCTGAATTCTTTTTTCCATCTGCTATTATACTCATCTGAACTGGATTTCCAGACAAGGCAACGGTCGAGAAACTTAATCGAATTATTAGAAACGGTAATGTCAATGGAGCATACATTCAGGAACGAATTCCTGTTCCCACTTATCAACTCATTTGGAATATCATATTCTGTTTCAGCATCGAAATAATCGTCCTCGTCTGGTGCTAAACACAAAAATAAAAAAAACATTAAACAACAAATAGAAATTTACCTAGATGAAGAAGGTGTTGAGCTGATCGATTAGATGGACCCTGGGAACGCTTTGCTCCTGGTGGTTCAAGAAGTGTTAGCATAGGGTTGGAAAGGAAAGTGTCACAGAAAAGCTAACGCTTCTGTCGACACAAGTCCTGCAAAAACACATGGATTAAACATCGTTGAATGAATTTCATGAAGATTGTTTCAAAGAATTTGAGCAACACAGATAAGATATAAATAAATTGTCTAAATATGATTC